GCGAATCGAATATTATAATTTTGATATTAAAATCAATTAATTCACGAGGTAAAAAGTCTAATTATAGTAAATAGATGGGAATAGTCTGGAAACCGTACATGTTTAATATATATATTTAAACATATCAGACTTCATGAAGTTTATTGGAAGTTGACAGTATATCTTAACACTTGAAGTATGTAGTAGTTTAGAATTCAAAAACAACTTTTCCTTCGCTCTCATTGGTGTCGACTACGTAACGCGATATCAGCTCTTCGCAGAGGGTTGCTATCAGTACATAGGGTTTTAGTTACGGTCTGCTAGACAATAACACACTAATATACTCTGCTCTATCGGCTTAATATCCTCACACTTTGATATGATTGAAGATATATATGTGGAAAAGACAAATTTTAATTTGTTTACTGGAATATATTGGTGATCTAGACATAACAAATGTGCAACAACGTTGCGAATCGATAACAAAACTTTTACGGTAACTTGAATTCGTGTTATTCATTGATCTTCAGAAAAAGCCTTATCCCCCCGGAATATCAATTCTGAATGTTCATCAATCCGAATCTGAGACTCTCAATCTGTGCACTAGCTTCACTTTGGTCTGAGTTCTAGTAAATAATATTTTTGGATTCATGTTTTTCCAAGAAGATTTCAATTTAGAGTTTACGTTTGCTATAGCCATCAGGATGGCCAGCAGATAAAAATAGCCAAATCAATTGATTGCCTTGGTAAATCATGCACATTAGCTTAATTTGAATATCACGCATCATTATTACGATTTTTCTGATGAGTGATACACCTACTTGCGAAAACGTTGTCATAAAAAATAGGACATTTGTATTTTAGTAAAAAGAAATAAATTATAAAGACAAAAGAAGATCACTGAGGCTGAACGCTTTCTTTTGTTTTGTCTTAATTTATTCCTTTTTACTAAATTCGAATGTTCTATTTTCTATGACAACGTTTCTGCAAGTAGGTGTATGTCACAGTGAGATCACCCTAATCTGTTGTTAGTTGTTCCTTTATTTTCATCTATTTGCAGCTACATTAACGCTCTTCTGGCCTTGAGTCGTGGGAAATCAACACACAAAGATGGAGCAGAAAATGGAAGTGCCCAATTACATGAGGAAGGCGATGGATCAATTAACAGAAGCCAAAAATACCATGATGTATTATATGGGCAAACATCCACTCGTAACACTCAAACTTTTTTATTTCTTTGCTCTATCCTCCTTCAGCCTTAAAGTTGTATATATGCCTTTGTACTTCAAACAAGTYGGCTTGCCAGCAAGTTATGCAGGGRTTTTAGCAGGACTTCCCCCGTTCATTCGAGGCGGCGGAGCATTCTTTCTTGGAGTGCTAGCAGACAAGCTTARAAAGAGAAGAACATTATTTCTCATCAGCCTTACAGCCAATATGATCATTCCATTACTTTGCTTAATTCCAAGGGTTCAGTACCCAGTTTGTGATATTGACTTCACCGAAGAACCTGTAACTGATCCACTGGGTATGCCGTTAGAAAATGGTAATCCACAGGGACAAGTCAAGATGTTCCTTCCACATACCATCATAGATATTCAGCGAAATAACTCTGCTCCTCCATCAGTCGTACAGGTCTTGTATTACCAAAGTAATGGAAGTCTAGCCAAAGATCAGAATCCCAAGATAAATTCTCTATCCTATTCAACCATGAAGCGCGTAAGACGTCCTGTTGTGAAATATCATCTTCATGCTAAGGAAGCCTCGCATCAACTTGCCATGTACGACATGAGAACATTACGTGCTAAAGATCAAAAGCCACAAATGAAAAATACTGTCTCTCATTCATCCAGAAATCGTCCACGGCGTTCTGCTGTTAAAGATCTTGTTAACGGAAAAGATGCATCAGCACAGCTTGGAATATTCGAGTTTTACAGGAGAACCTCTGGTAGGCGCTCAGAAATTATTAGTAAAATTGAAACACGGCAGGAAAACGACGCTGGCAAGAGAAAAGAATCTAAGACTTTRAAATCAAGTAAAAAGACACCACAAGAAAGCCACGACATGCTTGTCACAATATTTCTAACGTTACTAATCTTGCTGATAATTGGTGAGTTCCTTGGMGGACCTCTTAGGAGTCTGGCTGACCTGTCCGTACTGGAGACAATGGGAGGCGACAAGACTAACTATGGTGACGTCGCTCTTTGGATGCAAGTCGGTAAAATATTCCTAGCACCAACAATATTAATTCTCATTCGGAGCTATCCATTGCATWTATGTGACCAAGTCAAAGACAACTACGAGTATTCGTTGTATCCTCTTGCAGCATTCAGTGTATTCTCTATGATATTTGGYTTCAACATCAAATTCCAAGGTGACTATGAAGAGAATACGAAATGTGATGAGGATCATCCTGATAAAGACAAAACACTAGCTGATGTCATCTTCACATTCAAAACGTTCACAATATTGGTMCTGTCGTTCTTTGCTGGGGGTCTAAGCGCGGTGCATTACACGTTTATATTCTGGTACTTAACAGATCTGAGCCCAAAAGATTCCGCCGTTGTGATTGCAGTAGTGATYGTCCTGAGAGACATTGTRTCCTCCATATCATACAAGCTATCGGGACGAGCACTGACGTTCTTTGGCCCTGTGAATACCCTCCACGTTGCACTTTTGCTGTACATAATCAGTTTTCTGTCGTACGCTGTGATGACTAATCCATGGTTCGCTGTTTTACCGGAGATCGTCCAGTATATCGTGTTCCCATTGGCRTATTCTAGTTTTGTGGTGTATCTTGGGAACAATACTCCACCACACCTGAACGCTACAATTCAAGGTAATTTCACTACTGTAGAATCCTTGCATGTGACCTCGAAGTACCTTCATGTGGYCCATGAGGGCCCATGARGGACAAAAAAACTCTTTTTGTTCTTSTGAAGACTATGCCCCTCKTGGAGCTGCATTTCCATTAACTAMCAGGGKGTCTATACAAWATAGTRCTCGTAATKTCTATTATGCGGTTGCTCTTCARTCACAATATTTCAAAATATGCCGAAATATTTATTTTTACGCTAACTAAGTCTCCTCATGATGATTAATTCTATCAAGCTCGTATATTGCGCATTGATTGGAGCTCGTTCAAATTAGGTGTCCCGAAAAGTTGCTCATCCCAATCCAACTATTCGGTTTGTGTCTCACGCACATGTCATTTGAGTTTGTGAGTATAAACCATTGACGAGATTTGCCGAGTCAGTAATTTCGCTGGTATCTTTGAATTATTCAAGCAGCCGTCTTTGGATCGAGAAGCAAGAGAAACACCCGCTACGCTTGTGTTGCTAAGCTTGCTTCTCTGACGTGTTTTTCAATTCCCACCGTGTTTGGGGAAAGAGACACGCGCGCCTTTTATATTTCTTAAATTTATTTCGGATTGGAATGCAAATCTCTTCATGAGCCAMCTATACTCCATTTTACARTTCCGAGCGCCATCTTGRAAGGTAWCCAAGCCWTTGYATCAAAKCGAGACAGGAGTTSAGCCTGCAGTGATAGATACCTTTTGTTCACACYYAAGACAATTATTCAYAGGTATCTATCTATCAATTCAAGTTCAACTGCWSTCTCACTTTGATGCGAAGGCTTGGCTACCTTTCAAGATGGCGACAGGAAATGTAAAATGGAGTACGCTCAATATAAGAGTAAATGAATTTAACATACTTACTTACTAAGTTCGTTAATCTAGGTGTCTATCAATGCCTGTACTATGGAGTGGGGTTTGGATGTGGTCCAATCTTGGCYGGTGTYCTCTTCGAGCATATGGGAGGAGCTAACACTTTTCTAGTGTTTTCTGCAATCAGTTTTGCGCTGCTGCTATTCTCGTTGTGCCGTCATGCCATAACCCGCCATTTTGACAATCTTGATGATGACAGCTATAAGCCAGTTCCGGACGAAGACGGAGAAGAAGAAGAATTTATCAAAGAGAATGCCGATTATTGATATAAATTAATATAAAGTAATATACAGCCTTTTGCAAAAATTATGAGAATTGTCTAAATATCTAAATATCATAATATCCATATCCATATATTGTCCGGAACATGCGGGTTTGCTAGAATAATTCATTGTTGACATCGAGAAAATGTTCAGAACTACGGATAAGTCTGTCGCCAAAAAAAAAAACTAAACTACAAAGACAAGGGACTAAGGGCATCGCGCGGGATTACCCATCATGCACTCGATATTATGATATTTAGATATTTCAACAATTCTCATAATTTTTGCAAAAGGCTGTAATTAGTATAATATATTTGTACTAATAGTAATTCGCAGGTCCAGTGGTTTGGGTAATAGTTCCCTTACAATTAACTATGTTTAAGTGAAAATTTCGTACCTGGATATATACAGAAGGACATGTATATATTCTCTATGCACGCAGTAAGGAGCATACAGATGAGGAGCCATAAAAACACGACGTATTTTGACCAAAAGTGCAATCGCACATTTCTAGTTTTTCCGTAAATTATTCTAGTTTTTAGCAGATTCAATGACTTCTTAATTTATTAACTTGCCAAAAACAACTTTGATAGAGTAAGCTAGGCATTGTTCACACTGTTGAGTTTTGTGGCCTTTATTCGTTTTTAATAGTCTTCTTCACGGTTTCCTGCACCATCTTGAAAGGTAGCCGTGCCTTTGCATATCAAAGCGAGACGACCGTTGAGCGTGCAGTGATAGAAACCTTCTGTCGCACCTACAGACAATTATTGACAGGTTTCTATCTTTGCACGCTCAACGGCTATCTCGCTTCGATGTAAAAGCACGGCTACCTTTCAAGATAACACAGGTAACCGTGAAGTAGAGTATTATGCCAATGATGGTGTACAATCATTACCTTAAGAATCAAAAGGTTCTAAATCCTAAATAGCAGTTTTAGAATATCACGTGATCATTGAAAACCAAGAATGTATGGTTAATTGTAAGGTACAAATACTCAGSCCCCCTGATCTAGCGCTAGCTATTTGTAATATCAAATATGCACGGTTTACACAATACATTAATTTGATACATCTAATTGAAAAAACTTTGTCGGGTTTGAAAAGGTTATATAAATTATGCTAAACCCGAAAAGGAGCATGGGAAGACATAAGACATAATTATTTATATAGATATGAGTCTCATTTCTAAGTTCCCAAATTTCACTTCGGTCTTAGCTTCGTGATATTCTCCTCTTTAAACCTGCCAACAATTTTGAATTTGGTGTATCCGATTCAATATGGGGTATTACAGATAAAATATGAAACTCATGGCCAATRTTTGCCAATAAAATGAAGTCAAATGAAGTAAAAAGGGGATTAAAAGGCATAATGTATACAATGTTGGATATGGAAAAATAAAACATTTATGTTTTATTACTGACTTTTTA